CAAACGCGGGAAGAACATACAAACTCCACATAGATAGCACCCCAGGTTAGGAACCCGAGACCTCAGAGTTGTGAGACAGCAGTTCTAACCACTGCTCCATCGTGCTACCATATTACATGTGTATGTAAACAAACAAATGTATGGTCGCTGAAATTTCTTCTTTCCAAACATTGACAAAGGATAAATATGGAGTCTTGATTATAATTAAATTTAACAAGTTAAATGGAGAGTAGTGACCACCTCAGCAATGATCATGCCAAATGTGTTTTCTCTTTTATTTTTCTATTAATATCTTGGCCACTTCCATTAATTATATTAATAATTATGAATACAGCCCATATTCAAGGCATTTCACAAAATATGCAATACTTTGTGAACAACATAAAAAAAGATACAAATGAAAAGCTAAATTAAAAAGAGAAGCAGGAATACATAAGAAGCACAGTGCCTGTTCAGAGTACAGTGAGAACGATACATTTAGTGATGTATAGTGTGTGTAGGTGAGGATTTGTTGATCCAGTAAAGAAATGATGTAATTGAGCAGAGCTGTAAATAGCAGTGTTGAAGAAATCAGAGGTGCGGTATCAGCCTATCTTGAAGAAACACGGTAAGGTGACGAGGGACTGAACTGTTCTGATCTCGGTGGATTGTTCATTTCACCACTGCAGAGACAGGGACAAGAATGAAGTGACCCTGGAGGCAGGGAAACAAAAAAGATCACTCTGGTAGAGAAGGATGAGCAAAAAAGTGAAGTAGGAGTATATGGAAAGACTAAAAATACAGTGTGACTGATCTTCCCAACCACCAGGCCAGTTTAAGGCAATTCAACAGTTTCTACTTCTATCATGAGCGGGCAGCGTGGAGATAATGTAATTAAAGCCATGCCAATTCCTGACTGTCACTATAGACGGACGATTGCTTTGGCAGCTGCTGGTATACTTCCATCACGTGCCCATAGATGCATACATCTGATCTGCATAGTTATGCATCTTTGCATTTTTACTGCATTTGTAGTTTAGGGTTTTTAGGTGATTATGAATTATAGATTGTTGTGTTTAATTGTTCTATTGGATGTAACGTTTTTTTAATTGCTTGAAAATAATGGTTTTATTTATATATTTATTCTTTATTTTATATATTTATATATATTTATAGATTTATATTTTTTATACTGTAGTCTACCTTTATAGTTTTACAATAAAAGACAATAAAGACATTTTATTGATTTAATTTCTAAGCATGAGACAAAGAGAGTTAAATTATGACTGGAAGAACACGTAGACAAAGTCTAGCTGTTTGTTACCCAAGCAATACTGTTAATTCTTGGGTGAAAATGGTATGCACAGCATATATTGTCTCAAACACTTCATCAAGTTGCATATTGCTGGCCACATTAGATGTGTTCAAGTTAGAACAAATTTGTCCTAAATTGAATAGTAGTATATGTTCTTGAGGCATGTTAAACTAAACACATTTTAGAGTGTGGAAACAGAATTATCATCACTTTTATTTTAATGAAGAACC